GTCATTAGCACCTCTAGTAATATATTTACTGAGAAAAATGGTGACGTGTTCAATACTTATTTTACCCGCTGTATACCATTCTGACACCGTATGAGTTTGCCTCCCAGTAAATGTCATTTTAGAAAATCTACCCACTTGCTTTTACTCAATACTTTTACTTTTAATACTTAAGTACATTTTGTCAGAAATTTACTTGTGATACTTAAGTACAAAATAAATTAGATACTTTAAGACGTTTACTCAAGTAATATTCTTAGAGAATTTAACTTCTACCAAAGTCATTTTATGATAAGATACTTGTACTTTTACTCAAGTATCACTTTAAGGTACTTTATTCAACACTGGTTATGTCTTAATTTTGTAGCGTGTGACATTAGCCTGATGAGAGACATTCAAACATCTGATGAGCAGAGTGGATGGGTCTGGAGTGCTGCAGGTTTTCCTGCAGAGAGGACGATGTTGGTGTGAGAGCAGCTGAATATTGATATTGTTGGGACGTTGTTAACTTACTGTATTTTAGGTATTGTGCAACCGTAAGACCACATTGTGTTGATTTGTGTGAAGTACTGATATCTGTGAGCTAATTTTAGCATGAAAAAGACAAAGGCCTTTCATGCTCATCAGTTTTAAAAGAAACTGAACAAAACCTAACCARGAAGATTGGAAACAAGATTTAAACCATGCACAAAATGTGCGTCATCCTTAAAATATTCTTCTTTTTTTAATCAGATACAAGTGTGAGTTTTGTACGTGTGATACAAATGGTTGACATTTGACCTCTACAGCTCAGAGCATAAAGAACTGAAAACATGATTTGTGTTCAAAACATTAACATTTACTATTTATCTTCCATTTTTCATCTTCAAATTGTCCCTAAAGGGCACCTCTAAATAAACTAAATGTATGTTTGAATAAACCTTGAAGCTTGCCACAAACGAGTTTTGTCGCATGGGCTTGATATGGTTTCAGCTCTGACCCGTTCCACGACTCAACCTGTTTGAGCTTGCTCATGAATGTTGTTTTCAAAGACACGCTGCAGCCTCAGGAATTATTTTAATTATTTTCTGAGAGTGGCGACAAGTGAAAGGGTGTTTATTTCTAAATAAAAATCCAGATAAATTGTTTTATTATTTAACATCAGATCAGATGAGCAACAAAACTAAAAAGTGATTCAAATTTGTTGTGTGCCGTGGAAAATAGAGGTCAAACAAGTCTGCATTTCTCTTCCAGTAAGTCATTCTGAATAATATGCATTTGAAAGAAAAGTGGTCCTGTGTTCTTTGTCAGGAAATAGTAAAGCCACATCTCTCAAATGCTCTGAACCACCTCCCGTTTTATCTCATGACTAACATATTTTTATGACCAAGACTTTATTTTTTACCCCAACCTGGCAACAAGTCATTCCCTCCCACTTTTATTGAACTATAGTATCACAAATGTTTAGTGCAGCTACGCTGAGGGAGGAGACTTGTGCTGCAGCCAAGCTAAGGAGGGAGGGCTCACCTGTCAAGAGAGAAAAAAACTGACCGCGGCGCAGCAGTTACCTGCTGAACTATCACCTGAGCTGCAGAACATGCCGAGCAGCTGAGCTAAGCTGAAGTTCTGTCTGACCGTCGACTGGAGGGAAGGAGAGCAAAATGGGTGGAACTGTAAGTCAGAGGAAGAGCATCAAGCAAACCGGTTCAAGGAGGTCCTTCAAAAACACCACGTGAGTCAAACTCTGTTATCTTTTACAAGCAGATGTGCAGCGCTTGAGTTAAAAACGTTGGATAAAAGTGGATGGATAACTGAAAGTGATATATATTTTTAAACAAAGATAGGTTAAATCCTACAAACTGTAAGATCCTTAATGAACTGAGCAGATAGTGTTTGTTTTGCATGTGGTGTGACTGTTGAAGTGTACATGCAAATATTCACACGCCCTCAGTGCAGCCACAGATAAGGCTGTGTTTAAATAAGACTGGGAAATGTTTGCACGCTGAACTTTAAAGAACTTAGCGAAAACAAAAAGATCAAATCATTTTGCGTAACAAACAAAGCAAACAAGAAGTTATGAAAAAACTAAATTTAATGGTCAAATTAGTTTTTTTAAAGGAGCTTTTGACTGMTTTAACACCATCTGTAGGAATTTTGTCAGAAAAAGTCCACAGTCGTTCCTCTTACAGTATAAACTCATTGTGCGAAGTATAACCGGACTGCGTCAATGTTTGCTCGACTTCTTTTAATACTAGGATGGAAGCACAGCAGCTCAGACACTGATCGTAGATATGTTTGACACAAGAAAAAAACAGATTACAGAACAGTTTCTGGCTGTGTACAAAGCAAAGCACTCAAGTTGAAAATAGTTCATACTGACAGAAAATCATGACAGCAGCTGTCATGGTTTCAGTAAAATCAAATGCCTTTAGTGAGGTTTTAAGTCAAGAGATAAAAGAAAATTGAAACCTGATCTTACAAAGTAGAGACTCCTTTTGTTCATTAAACAGTTCAGTTTTTAAATCAGCAACACCTCTTGCTCTTTTAACTTTGGCTGTTTGTTTCGACACTCGTCTGTGACGCCTCCACCTCGTCTGATTTCACCCAGGCTTGAGGAGATTTATTCGTCTGTGTTTTGGTAGCATCAGACTGACACGAGTCAGCGAACCGTTCACGGGCTTTCTCCCAGTTTTTATGAGACTTGGATCTGGCCACAGACATAATGTCCGCAGACGTGACGCCACCTGCTCCCAATCCTGACTGAGGCTTCCTGATTTTTAGCTCAATCTGTGGAGATGAGATTGACAAGAAGAAAAAAAAAATTAAAATTTTGTTGATTTAAGTTAGATAAAAAGAAAAAAAATAAAATTGCAGAATCAACAGATTATCTTACCGGGTCTTTCATTCCTGTTCCCTCTTTACCCAGTCCCTCTCCTTTCTTCCAGCCCATCTTTTCCAACATCTTCCGGCCTTTATTGACCTCACTGATCTCCCTTCAGAACACAAAAACAATACATAATCAGCATGTTAACCTGTCTTGTTCCTTCAGGAGCAGTTACAGTCTTTGTTGATGTACTTACTCGTGTACTGAAGCAGGGGCGTCATCTCGTTGGAAAACACCCTCACTGCCCACAGTCTGACGTCGAGACTCAGCTCTGTCTCTGTATCTGGGGTTCTTCAGGGCTTTGGTCTCCTCAAACTCACTGCTCTGTGTAGATGAAAACAGAAATGCATAAATACAAAAGYTCTGATTCCTTGTTTTTCCACCTAACCAGTTTAACACTTACTTGCAGGCCGTATTTGGCCTTCATTTGCTTCAGCTCTTTCTGCCTCAGTGACTCTTTATCCTCTTTGGTGAGACCAGGTCCTTTAGAGGATCAAAGTAAGAAATCAAAATGTACAGATATTTTACAATTCTGTATCCAGGGATGTGTCCTCACCGGTGTCCTCCTCTCTCCTGTGTTTGCTGAGGTGAGCCATCACCTGTCCTGGCTCACAGCCATCACAGGTGTCTGTCCCTGAGTGGATGTGAAAGGACAGCACGGTCTCTCCCATTTTAACTTCATCACCATGCATCAGTGCATGTGGCTCAGACTTGGTTTTCGGCTGGGGGAGGAAAAAAATTTTTTTTTTTGAAAACTTTATATAATTCATTTGGATGCTTTTATTGCTTTTTTTTATTTATTTTTGGACACCGACACAAGATGCTGACCTGTAATATGCGGCCACCATTGATGACTGTTCCATTCTGGCTGCCCTGGTCCACCAGCATGTAGCTCTGCTGTTCCTGGTCAAAATACACCTCAGCGTGGAACTAAAACCAAACAGATCCATGATTTAGAAACAATATATTGCCTTGAATTAAACAAAAGAGTAACTTGCAGGTTAAGTGGGGACTGATACCTTGCTGACACCAATTTCTGGTATTCGAACTGCATGGTCCATATCTTTCTCTCTGTAAGCAAAAACACCTACATTAAACTTATCATATGTTATATGTTAAAATAAATTTGATATATATCAAAATACATGTATCAAAAATATATCTAAAACAACTTGAAATTGGCCTCTGTCTTTTTAAGAACCTCCTACAGTTTCTGACACTCCCACTTCAGCACGTCTTCACTACAATGCTTCATACAGTTTGTAATCTTTTGTAGAAGCGTTGTACTTTGTTGAAAAAAAATACAGTTGAACCTTACCCGAGTGTCGGACCCAGAAAGTACATTTTCTGAAGAACCAGAGCGAGTACAGAGGCTCTAACGAGACGTTTCAGATAGTGCTGTACCAAACGATAATTTTCTAATCGAGTAATCTAACGATTATTTTTTCGATTAATCGATTTTTTAACAACAAATCTGTAAGTTATTCTGTTGAGTGCACTGGAAATTTAAAATGTTTTCATCAAATTAACAAGAACAGTTCTTTAATGTTGTAATACTTTCTGTAATAGTTTTTTCATGGACACAAAATATGCACTCTACAGTCAATTATTTAACAAAAAAAGCTCAAAAGATTTAACATCAATATAAAATCTCAACCA